CCACGGAACGAACCAGCGGACCTCACGAGTTCTTCTATGTGCTTGTTGTCATGTCTTTGTATTTGGTTTTTCAACGACATTTTAGCCGTAACGTATTAATAATTTTCACAAACTAGTGGAGTAATTTCTCATAAAACAATTGAATATCAAATCAATAGAAATTTTAAAATGTTTGTTAATAATTAACAGAATTAAATTACAATAAGGGTGAGGCCAGTCGTGTAATTTTTTGAGTTATGAGTCGTTTTTTAAATATTGGAGTTTCGACTGAAATCCAAACGAGCGTATTTTATTGGGTTGGTTTTAAGCGTTTGTACGTGGTGTTTGTGTCATATAATGTACTGGATCCATTACGAAACGCGTATGGACCCAATTAACAAAGTAAAGTCCTATAACTAAAGTTAGCGTTTTACATCCGACTTCTGTGGCCGTAGCTTGGCAGAATATGTGTAATAAACCTCATAGTGACAATATTTAATTCAGTTGATAAATCTAAGTTTGTTTTTTGGTAATGAACTATTGTTATATATTTTGAAGAACAAGGACAACGATATAAAATTGCGTAGGTATACATCTATCTTTGTGGTTTAATCATCGCCGCGAAAACATTGAAACAAAAAATGTCTTATCATCTCGTTTGTCGCGTTCAATTGTTACGTTGATAAAATGACTGTGCGAATGTTTTAAAATAATTTTAAAACAGTTAATCTTTTGCAGTCATTGGGTGCCGGTGCTCGCGAGAACATAGAAATATGATGTCACGGTGTTCGCCATGTTCGCTATTGTGATAGAATTTTTGAAAAGGTTTATCACTCAAATTTGACAGCTAAATGTGGATATAATAGCTTTATCGAGGCGGCATACTACGGGGGCTGGTTGGATTAATGTTGGTCTCATAAACGTAAAGGAATCGTTTATAAAAGGTGAAAGTGGCGCACTTACTTAGTGGTTTTCCTAGCAACTACTATAGTTAATTAAAGGTTCTATAATGGGTACGGAATAACCAAAGTGTCGTATAAAGAGTGCATAAAAAAACATTTACCTGACAAAAGCGTATTAAGGTTAAAAAACTGAGTATTGGTGGTTTAGCGTAATCTTTACAAACCATTTACTTGACTTTAAAGTTGAGTAAATGTTTTGAAATGTTGTATAAAATACTTTTTCGTTGAACTTCTCTCGTGAGTAATACGACTCGCACGCCCGCACCCGCCCCGCGTTCGCTCTGGGTCCGCCCCGCGTTCGCTCTGGGTCCGCTCCGCACCCGGTCCGCCTGGCGTGGCGGCGCGGTTTCAGTGTGACAGGATTCATATGAACTCGAACATTTTAAAAATCACACGCCCGGAACGCTTCCGGGACCGCCTCTGTGTGGTCAGCAGGGTTAGCGATATACGCGAGAGCGACATAAAGCACGATATGTTGCTATTCTCGCATAGAAACGCATACATATGTGGCTATAGTTATAATTTAATATTATATTAGTAACAATAACTTACATTATTATTAACTGCCTCTGTGGCCGAACGGTTACTATACCGGACTGCCACGCAGAGGTCTCAGGTCTCGATTCCTGGGCCGGGAGAAATATTTGTATGGCCTACATTTATTTCTCTCGTGAGTTTGGGTGTAATTTGTGGTTGTCTATGTGTGTCCATGGCACCCGCGACACAGGGTTTGCCTAGTGCGGGGCTATGTTGAGTGTGTGCGTTATTTATTTATTTATTACTATTTATATTACTTACACTGCTTACATTATTTTGCGTTACATTTTTACTTGATACACAATAGTTTTAGAGTTAGGTGTATCGACTGGGAACTGGCAACCGGTACTATCTCAATTTTGACAATTGTACATGATGAAGAAAATAATTATTTGCGTCATTTATCTGAGATTGAATTTCTTGCAACGCTGTGGAGTATGAAATAGTATAAAATGGTAATAAAAAGTGAAATGTTTAGAAAATTGAGTTAGTACCGGTTGCCAGTTCATGTCGATATATATTTGCGCGTGATGCACTTTGGTGGCATGGATTACTGGATTGCAATCGTTCACCTTATGGTACTGGCAGAAAACCAGCTCTGTTTGACTTTTCACGGTCTACAGTAGGTATTTATGCTGAGTCACGGCCATTTCAGCACAAACTTACCAACACCGGTTAATGTCCTATTAGAGCTTAGCGAAAATTTTTTTTTGTTTCGTTTTTTTTCTTTCAACTGTGACATTGGCAAAATCATCAGTTCTCATATTGATGGAGCCATAAAAATAAAAAGTGAAGTGAAGTAGTCATACATAAAATTTTGTTGATTCTCATCATTGACTTACAAATAAATGGACGACGGGTCTAATACACAAACCACGAAAAAAATGCCCCAAGTCAACCTATTCAAACGTAGTGACATGTAAAGGAATATGAAAAAGCTAAAACGTTGAATTTAAATTGTAATGTTATCGCAGTACTGTCTAATTTTGCTTGCTTCGCTGTCAGTCGAACAAACGAAGACTAAAGCGTGAATGACGCTCTGTATACGATTTTAACGTCCTATAAGTTCGGACACTTTTTAGCGCGGACCCGACGTCCATATAATCGTAAGTCATTGATTCTCATAGTATTTTGTTTGTTTGTATCACACTATGTGTTTTATATAAATGTGTACTAAATTAATAATGTATGTTCGATGTGATTTTAAATTAACAAAAAAAAAAGACATTTATTTAGCCACAAAACACAAACAAACATAATCGAACAATTAAAAAAAAAAACCGTAATGTGGACAAAAAGGATGAAGACTCAGCATTGCTGGTTTTTAGGCTTCACCTTAAAGCTATTTATTCGCCTGCTGCATCCGACGGGCAAGCGGAGTGTATAATATAAACACTAAGCAATTAATAGAGGCTGTCTGTGTTGCACTATATGTAAAATGTATAAAAAAAAAATGTAATTAAAAAACAGAAAACATTCTAAAATTGTATTTATTTATTTAGTGTTGCAAAATTTTGTGAAGTGATTGTAAATTTGTTTTTGTTTCTGTTTGTATTTGTGCTGATTAAACGTGTTATCTATCTATCCAAATGTCGGAGTAAACGGGTTACATACACACACAAAAAAAAACTAACATTTTTCATAATAGCCACGTACGGGGCAAAACTAACTTGTCAGCTATTAAATACGTTTTCTATTAAAGGTACGTAAGTCCTATAGCAACTTGTTTATTGAGTCACCTTCCTCTTCCTCAAGGCGTTCTACATTAGCAACATTGCGAGATATATAGTACCAGTAATCATGAATGTTACACTTTACTGGCTAACTTGTTATTAAGAAAATTTTGTCGATTATAATTTTATTTATCAAAAAAAAACAACAAAAGTTCGTGGCATTAACATTTATTTGCCTAGTTTTATTGAAATTTAGACGGGATCAATAATAATAATATAATAATAAACCATTTATTTCAGGCCATAGCCCGTAAGATAATGGTGTTAGTTACAAAAGAAAACCATAGAACTATGATAGTATGATTGAATTTTGAAAATTTGATTATAAATTTAAAATGTTGAATTACAAAAATTAAAATCAAGGTAAATTCCACGAAATATTACTTAAATTGACCAGTAGCTATCTTAATCCAAAACTTTAAATTTGTACAGTCGATTAAAGTTCTCATTTTGCAATACGATATAATAAGCGTTAATTAATTAATTATTCCACTGCTACAATTAAAAGGTAATTCAGCACACTCAAATGCGTAAAAACGTGGCTGAGATCAACTATGATCGAAGACCATCGAGTATATATATAACCAGAAATAGAGACGAAATGTCATTTAATTTGTTTGAAATAGTTTTCATATCATTACCATGACAACTGCGCTGCGATTCGCTAGCCCGAGTTCGAAACAATTCACGGGTGTCGTCAACTGTTTCACTTCAAACAGACCAGTTAACTTGAGCTTTGCTATAATGGACGAATATTGCAAAATTACATATTTAATTACTGATAAAATGTTCCGTTTGTTTTGTACTTAGATGTTTTGCTGTTTTTCCTACACCACCGAATAGAACAGCACGACATTGTTAGAGATATTATCTTTATTACAATAAATACAGAATATTTTTTGGATTGTACAGAGACGTACCCACAGGTCAGTATAGTTGGCCTGTCTATATTTCAGTGCAAACGAGAGTTGATATTTATAAGAGCTGTATCGCTAATGTGTTCACCAGGAACCAGGAATATATGTTATTTCGTCTCTATTTCTGGTTATATACTCGATATCGAAGACAGATTAAGTGGGCTTTACATGCTCAGTGTACATAGAAAATTTATTAACGTTATGGGCGACCGTTTTGCTGAAGATCAGCATTTCTGTGTTACGGTTTTGAAGAGTAAGAAATTAAGCACATGGGACTTGTTAGCTTATGTCTTAGGGTGACGGGCGCAGTGACTGTGTCTCACAGTTCTTTGCGATTTAAAGCTCGTGAATGGCACTGCAACTGTTATGGACAGGCGTGTCACTTACCATATTACCGACATTGTTACCGGGTAGTGCGCAAACCCGGATTCATCCCCTAGTTCGCCACTAAAATATAATAAAAATCGGTTCTCACTTCTCAAAGTATATCGAGAGAGAAAACGTCTTGAATTGGAGAATAGCAAAATCAACCATTAAAATAATTGCTGCTTATAATAAAATTTAGGCGCTATTTATAAAAATGAATCTTCGTGCGTGAACAGCCATCCTTAGAGATGGATGATTTTCTTCAAAATTTAATGGGACCACTATGGAGATACCCCCTTTCCAACAAAAAAGAATCATGACAATCGGTTCACAAATACCGGAGTTATCGCGTAACATACATACAAAAAAAACATACAGTCGAATTGAGAATCTCCTCCATTTTTGGAAGTTGGTTAAAAAAAACATATATATATATATATATATATATATATATATATATATATATATACACACCACACGGCTGACTTTTTCTATCTTGTTTCCAGTATGGCCGCCAACACATCGAAGTGGCGAAACGCATCCAGAGACATGACAGTTCTGACGAAGAGGACGAACCACCCGTCCCTCCGGAGGACAAACCGCCCTCCGCCATTATTAAAGAGAATGGATCTCTCAACGGTGAGTACTTAAGGCTATTTTACCAACTCCTATTGTAAATTAACACGTTCATGTCAACAGTGGACAACAGTCAGCTCGCTCATCTGTCTCACTCTGGTTCATTGGTCATTGTAATTCCCTTGAGACTCTACTAAGATCATTTTTTTTATAATAATACCCACACTAGGGAAACCCTGTTTCGCGGATGCCATGGACACACTTAGGCTCAACTCACACTGGCGCAGAGTCAAAGCGTCGCACTATGGAAAATATGGGTGCGTTTCGGATCAAAAATCAATAACTTTATTGTTTCTTAAAATTATGTCTTGAAATTTTTCGTTATTGTAGAGGAATATATAAGGCTTCGAATGTGATAGTTTGGTATAAATTAGTATAATACATATTTTATTATAAAATATTAAAAATCAAAGTCCAATAAAAACGATCAATAAATGGAGTTTATTCATTTTTATGTTAGTAACTATTTATGTTTCGTAGGAATTAAGACATAAATATGCAACTACATTACCAAGATACATTAATATAAAAATATGAAAAGCTAATTCTACTTTAAACAATAACTGAAAAAAAAGTGTATTGAAAGTTATTAATATTATTTTAAAAACACATTAAAGGTTTAATGTACCTATTGCAATTTATACCTATATGGTTTGTATAAATATTTATTAATAGATTTTTGCCAATTAAACTTGCCGAGCTTCCGGATCTAAAATTAATTCGTTCACTTTCAAAAGATGTAGTGTATCCTCATCGAGTTCTTTAACGTTTTTGCTGTATGGTTTTCTAATGCTTGTTATGTATGGATCTGATGTGTAAAGAAGAGTATGAAATACGTCTTCATTTGTGGCTGCTCGGGAGCATTTTCGGGCATGATGAAGGCGAAAGTTTTTGTAATCCTTATTACGGGATTCTTGTGCGTCTTCCGAAAGTTGACCAATCGGAAGCACTGCAAAATGCTTTATAATACTTTCTCCGTGTATTAAGATTTTGTGAACTGAGGATGGCATATAGTACCATTCATAATTACTGACATAAATCCTGGCAGTCTCCATAGCATAACTACCAAGTTTTTCCGCATCTACCATCACACCTGATGAAAGTGCTTGTAGTATTATGTAGAGATATTTTATCAAAGTCACATCCACACCAGTAATTTCAGCAGAGCAACTTGCATGAGAAAAAAATCTCCTAGCAGTATTGCCATCATTGCTATTTCCTGTTCCTTGACGTGGTTGGTCAATTATCAGTCCCAACTCATCACGAAAACGTTTCTGTACTAGAGTTTTCTTCTCTTGTTTTTGTCTTTTCTTTTCTTCAGTCGTTGCAGACCATGTTCTAAAAGAAAGATTGTAGGAAATGTGTAAAATCATCTCCATACAACGTATCCAGGCATGTAATGTAGAAAGTCCGTACTGATAACTTTCTTCATTTTCAGGCCTAGCAGTCACTCTCGTCAAATCATTCATTTGCCGTGGAGTAGCTCTGCATATTGTACACGTGGAGCCAGAAGGTGTCTCTGTTAATACTTGAGCTACTTTACCGTCTATCATTGTTAAGAAAAGTTCATGTTTTACTTGAACTCCCTCGCCTTCTCTATTAATCAAAGTTGGGATCAACGAATTTATCTGCAATTTTATGTCATCCACAACTGCTTTAGTTTTCTCAGGCGTTTCTTTGCAAAACTCTAATAATATAGGACGGCAAAAACGTACAGACGAAGGTACAGGATTTTGCCATACTACATCTCCTGTTAGCTCATTAATTAATTTAATGGGTACTAAAGAAGTGATAAATAAGTTAGCATCTGATACAACTTCAGACTCTTCTGGAAGCTTCTGTTTATACTGACTTTGTCCTGATGAACCATCACATCCCCATTTACTGTAAAGAAGTAAATGTTTTAATCCATCTTTATGTACAGAATCTATTCTTAAAATCCTGGCTGCTGTGTGATCTAATAAATCTTGAAGTTTTACTACTCTTGCTCCTATGTTTGTAATTTCAATAGTTGCAGATGGTGGATAGCAGGTTTGTTTAATCTCTTGTATTTTGTAATATGGTGGGAATATAGAACAGTTTCTTTCGTCTGTTAAATTTCTCAAATACAAGTATTGTGCTTTCGTTAAATCTAAGTCAATCAAAATGCTTAATGCTTCTTCGTCTATAAGCATTTTATTCTGCCTTGGATTTTCTATGAGACTCGAGATTAATATCTTCTTTTCTCTGTCAGCAAATCTTAATGTTTCCACAAGTTTTGCTTCCGTTCCTTCTTCTATCGAACGTAATCCCTGTATGTATGCATTATAAATATGCTCAAATCCATATTCATTAAGCAACACTGAGTTTTTTCTTTTCTTGCTAGATTGTGACGAGTCTGCGTAAGATATGCATGGTCTTCCACGTTTTCCAGAAGATGTAGATGGAGTGGTATCAGTTAAAACGCCTTCTGAAGTGGGTATAGTCACAGAATATTCCAAGTCCAGCCAATTGCTATTGTTCTTCAAAAACCTTTCTTTTTTCCGAGAAGCTTGCTCCCATTTTGTATTGAAAACGGGAATCATACGTCTTTGAATGTCACTGATAATGAAGCATATGTTGTCTTCAGAGATTTGATGATTTTCTTTCAAAAGAGTTGATATTGCTTCCATAGTTTTTCCTCCTTCGATATACGAAAGTATTATTTCACGTTTAGACAACTTGAAGGTAGACATTTCAATGTTAAAAAATACAATGTCTGTCCTTAATAAACGCGCGTATATTAATATCTGTTGAATCTGTAATGAACTATTATAAAATCAGCCCTTTATATACCATTTAAAAAAAAGGTTCGTGTGCAGAGTTTTGATAAATTTATTCACACACATAATGAGTGCAAAACTGATAAAGTTTGTCATAACTATGTTTTTTCAATAGTAAATAACAAAACTTACCTCAAACTATCAATAGAAACGATCAACACTCGAAACCGCAGCAGATAGTGGTTTTCCGTTTCTCGGACTCTTATCACATTTGTACCAATAACTTCGAAAAGCGCAAAAAGGCGCAGCCAATTTTTATACATGTTATTATTTAATAACTAGGCTACCATTTAACATTCGAATCTAAAGTAGGGAGGACGTTGGTAAGTGTCAAAACTCTTAATCAATTTTAAAAACACAGGTTTTTGTCCTTATTTCATTTTCGATTTATTTAAACGTAATTTTTAATACAAAATATAAATAAAGTATGTTGTGAAAATCTACAAAGAATAACCTTTTTAAAAATGTATAACACTTACTAATTTCTTATAATATTTACTATTCAAATTAACTTGCAAAGATGAGTAGTGAACTCCCTCAAAAATATTTTTTTCGTTCAATCATGTTTGACATTTTGTATAAAAAAAACTATACGTTTTTTATGGAAAAATGCTTCTGTATAAATTAGTTGCGTCATTAAACTATAAGATAAAATTAAAAAATATATCAATAACGACATTGTTCAAAATGATTTTTGATCCGTGCTTGTTCTACCATTTTCCATAGTGCGTCGCGTCGCGTCCTGTTTTTCAACTACAACGCCTGGAGACGCGCGACAACGCTCGCATTAGTGCGCCCGGATCACAGTGTGGTAGGCTTATATGGGCTTATAAGGCTATAGGCACCTTGATAATGGGAAAAATAGAGATGAATGTGCTATAGACGAAAAACATGACGCGTCGCGACGCTTCCACTCTGCGTCAGTGTGAGTTGAGGCATTGACAATTACAAGTTACACCAAACTTACGACAGAAATAGATGTAGGCCATACAAATATTTCTGCGTTACTAACACATACTCGGTATCTTATTTCTATCGCTCTGCCGCTATTGTATGGGGCGCGGGGTGACGTGCATTGTCAGTAATCGAATGTTTAAGCGCGTGAACGTACGGGATGCTTAGTTGTCAACATATGTCTTTCCACGGTCATTAATAAAGAACGACAGCGAGATAGACAGGGACGTTAAGAATAACGGCAGGATGGATGAAAGGGGAACAGGTGACAGGCACTATTTGCGATCAGCGAGTGCCCCTTATGCTAAAGGGGAAAATATACAAGACCATGATTTAGCCTGTCATGTTGTATGGCTCAGAATGTTGGGCGATGAAAAGGGAGGATGAACGAACTGTGCATGTAGCGGAGATGCGAATGTTGAGATGGATGTGTGGAGTGACGAGAAAGGTTAAGATAAAGAATGAGTATATCAGGGGAAGTTTGAAAGTGGCGCCAGTGACGGAAAAGATGAGGAGTAATAGGTTAGCGTGGTATGGACATGTCATGTGACGAGAAGAGTGGTAGGTGTGAATATGGAGAGATATAAGGAGAAAGGAAGGCCAAAGAAAAGATGGATGGATTGTGTGAAAGATGTCATGGATAAGAAAGGTGTGAGTATAAAAATGACGGCTGAGGGGAGTGTGGAAGAAAACTACCTCACCTAGCGTGGGATAAGGTCAGAAAAAAGAAGAAGAGTCGATGGTAAAACGATAGCTACCTGGAAGACTCGTAATGCACTGACACAGTTAACCCTACACGCGTCTGTCCGAAAACATTCGTATCGTGTACATACTCATCATTTTCTCTTCTGCAACATACACGATATGTTTTCGTGGCTAGATCTACAAAGTTCTTGTCGTGTACAAGACCATTCTCATCCTTTCTGGAGTAGACATGTCGAATTTCTTAGCGTGTACACGTGCCCTGACACAACTGAGATACAATAGCAAGAGTCCAATCCGCGTTAAACAATCTATTAATAAATAGCGTGCGGTAATAATCGCTTCCGTTATTGAATTAAATAATTATTACCGCTTCAGGAATTGTATTTTTTTGAAAACAATCTGTTTCCGTTTTCGTTGTGCAATGGCAATAAACTATCACGACACTTAATAGCGGAAATAACGACGAAAACACAAAACATCGATATTACTTACTTACCTACACTGGTGGACCTGAGAAACCATCTTCCCTGTTGAAATTAAGATGTTTCTTAACATTCCGTGAATATCATCATCATTCAGCCATACCTCGCCCACTGTTGGGCATAGGCCTCCCCCAACGATCTCCACGACGATCGGTCCTGCGCTGCCCGCATCCATCGGCTTCCCGCGACCTCCACCAGATCGTCGGTCCACCTGGTAGGGGGCCTACCCACTGAGCGTCGTCTTCGCGCGATTCTATCACGTAGGGAAATACCGAGCATCGCTCTTTTTCGTCCGTTATTTACAGGTCCCATATTCCGTGAATATGGGACCTGTAAATGGTCCAAAACGTAGGTTTATTTGAAAAACAAATATACACTATTTAGATGGGAAAAGATAGCAGATTACATAGAAAGAGAGATTTCCAAAACTTTGTTACATACAGGGTTATTTAATAATAATAATAACGCACACACTCAACATAGGCACTAGGGAAACCTCTGTCACGGTGCTATGGACATGCACACTTAAGACAACCACAAATTATACCCAAATTCACGAGAAAAATAAATGTAGGCCATACAAATATTTCTCCCGGCCCGGGAATCGAACCTGGCACCTCTGCGTGGCAGTCATGGTAACCTTTCGGCCACCGAGACAGTTTGTAATTTATTTGTAAAATACTAACAACCTCCTAGGACTCTAATACTTCTTTTTAAAGTGCCTCTCCGTCAATATGGCAAATTTGTCCCAGTCCAAGGCCAAACGAAACAGTTGTTCTGCGCTCGTGACTCCGGTCGACTCCCCGACATGACTTTTTACGTCTTCCACCGCGTCTCTTGCCTTCAATCTTTCCTGTCATTATAAACTCAAGCAGTGACCTAGATATGTGGTTTTGCGCATCCTAATAGTCCGCATTAGCTGGCGTGAGGTGTTCACGCGCAGAAGTACTGTGTCGTTCTTGACTTTCTCAGCACCACATCTCGTGTACATCGAGCCTAGCTGCCTAGCTGCCGTACATAACGAGTACTTTATTACTGACATCATCAAGTGAAATTGCTGGCACAAAGGAGTTGTCAACCTATGTCTCAGGGTGACGGGCGCAGTGGCAATGCCCTTGACATCTTTGTGGTTTAAAGCTCCGAGTGTCACTACAACTGTTATGGACAGACGTGTCGATTACCACCAGGCGACTTGGTAGAATAAAATAAATGTTTATTTATTTTAAAGAAAAGAAAGCAGCTTAAAATTAAATAAAATAATAATAGTAACAACTGAGCGCCAATTAAAGATCTTCATTAACTGCCTCCGTGGCCGAACGGTTACCATGCCGGACTGCCACGCAGAGGTGCCAGGTTCGATTCCCGGGCCGGGAGAAATATTTGTATGGCCTACAATTATTTCTGTGTGGGTTTAATTTGTGGTTGTCTATGTGTGTGTCCAAGGCACCCGCGACACAGGGTTACCCTAGTGCGGGGCTATGTTGAGTGTGCGCGTTATTAAATTTTTTTTATTATTTTTTTTCACAAATAAACATATAATAAGGAATCGAGGTGCACAATTTACCTAATTTATTATATAAAATATTAAAAAAAGTTGTAAGCCTCACTAAGAGGTAAGCCTCACTAAGAGTCTAAGGGTCGTATTCTAGAACTCTACTCAAAGCTCAAGTCAGGATTTGAGTATGGTTTAAAGCACTCGAAATCATACTCAAGTCCCTGCCATTAGGGTCGTATTTCCAGTGCTTGTGTTGCCAGTGCAATCCTGACTTGAGCATTGAGTAGAGTTCTAGAATACGACCCAAACAGTGTTCACTCAGTGATCTCATTGCCGAGATCACTCTCGTATTGAAAAGATCCAGATCAAAAGTATTATATAAAATGTTAAAATTATTGCTTGCTCGCCACTTAAACTCGTTTTTCCTGTAATTAGTTCGGGTCGGAGGTAGAACCCAAAGTGAACTGTTTCTAAGATACTTAGAGGGAACTCTAATTGTGATAGCAATTCCGGACAGAGACTTAAGACTTTAAGTCACTTATTAGTGATATTTCACGACGAATTTCAAATGGTGTAAAATGTAATCTACTTTCTCAATAACGCCCGTACATAGAGAGACGTTTCAAAGTAATAATTCCCCTCTCTTTGCGTCGGGAGTTAAAGAAAATTATTACCCGTCAAAGTTACGCCCAATCGTGGCAAAGGGAAAACTATATTACGTAACTAACATAGCATAGGATGTAGAGACAGCTATGGGCAATTTGTTACACAAGTGTTGCGTGTGAAAATGTAAGCACGCAAAGGTTCACTTATAGAACTCTTTTATCGTATTTATAACTGAACAAAATGTCTTTTAGTAGTAATGTTGAAGGAAAATACACATCAAAAGTGTCCACCATCGAGTATATAACCAGAAATAGAGACGGAATGTCATTTAATCTGTTTGAAAACTATTCTGCCATATCATTACTGTGACAACTGCGCTTCGATTGGCCGAATTCGAAACAATTGACGGGTGTCGTCAATTGTTTCACTTCAAATCGATCAGTTAACTTGAGCTTTGCTATAATGGACGAAAATTGCAAAATTACATATTTAATTACCGATGAAATTTGATCCCCTTCGTTTTGTAATTAGACGTTTTGCTGTTTTTCCCCACAACACCGAATAAAACAGCACGCCATTGTTAGAGATGTTATCTTTATTACAATAAATGCAGAATATTTTTGGAATATACGAAGACGTACACACAGGTCAGTTGCTGGCGCTGCGCTGTACTATTTCATTGAAAACGAGAGTTTATGTTTATAAGTGATATATCACTGATGTGTTACCATGTATGTATGGCCCTTATTTCGTCTCTATTTCTGATTATATACTCGATGGTGTCTACGGATCAAGCACGTATTTGCTAATTGCTTGAAATTAGGTTTTTTAATATAATAATAATAATAATAACACGCACACACTCATAGGGACACGGAAAAGTGTCGATACTTTTTGGTATCGAGTACTTTTCCCTCCGATACCGATATTTTTGTACTCGATATTTTTCATTCAATACTTTTCAGGTATTAGTGCTTTTTAACAAGTGTAGTATCGTTTAGAATAATTCGTACTTAGGACACCTCGTATCATAACGCAAGCTAACTAGCGATTTTTTTTTAATGACAGCTTTTATGACAACTTACTTGGCTGTGTATTGTATATTGTATGCCACAATTTGCCTCTTTAAAAGAAGTGTTCCTGCTTTTGAGAACAAACGTTCAGAAGGATTCCCGGGCCGGGAGAAATATTTGTATGGCCTACATTTATTTTTCTCGTGAATTTGGGTGTAATATGTGGTTGTCTATGTGTGTGTCCATGACACCCGCGACACAGGGTGTGTGCGTTATTATTATTATTACTGCCACCTTACCTATTTCTGCCGCCAAGCAGTAAATTCAGCGTTACTGAGTTCCGGTTTTAAAGGGGTTAAGGGTGCTGGTGAAATTACAGGCACATGGGACTTGTCAACTTATGTCTCAGGATGTGGGGCAGTCGCAGTGCCCCTCAGATCTTTGCGGTTTAAAGCTCTGAGTGACACTGCAACTGTTATAGACAGGCGTGTAGCTTACCATCAGGCGCGCGACTTTTTCTTCTAAAAAAACTTCCAAGTAATATACTTAAAACGGTATTCTTGTTTATTGCAGGCACAAAAATGTCAGTGATTGAACGGGAGGAGATCCTGGGACCTTCACCTGAACTGAACTACAAGCGCAGTTCGAGCCAAGAGAGAGTCAAGAATGGTCACACACCAGACCATAAAGGGGAGGTTAGTGTACAGGTACTGTCTTGATAACACTATTGTAACTCCACAAATTTAATGGTAGTTAAGTGTATCACCACATCTATGGCGGATTCGGCTTGAGTCGATCAGAAAGAGCTGTATACCGGATTGTGTATTTTAGCGAATTCAAAAAAGGAGAAGGTTCGCAATTTGACAGTATTTTTTTATGTAACGCGATCGCTTCGGCATTTGTTTTGGTGATTCGTTTTTTGTTAGAAGAAAAAAATTATGGAAGTGCCTCAAGCCTCGATTATGCTCTGGCCACACAGAGGCGGCCGCGGAAGCGTTCCGGGCGCGGGAATTTTTGTAACGTGCGAGTTATTTGTATTTGGTTTTTTCAGCGACTTTTTAGCCAAAGTCAAAGATTATTTATTCCATATAGGTCATTGACTTACAAATAAATGGACGACGGGTCTAATACAAAAACCACGAAAAAAATGTCCCAAGTCAACCTATTTGAAATTTAAATTGTAATGTCATCGCAGTATCGCGCTGTCAGTCGAACAAACGAAGACTAAAGCGTGAATGACGCTATGTATACGATTTTAACGCCCTATAAGTTCGGACACTTTTTAGCGCGGACCCGACGTCCATATAATTGTAAGTCAATGGCAACAATAATAATATAATAAATACTGAGAATGAATAAATGTTATTACGTGTGGGAAATATGACCTTAGCTTTCCCCAAATTTATAACCTTGATTTTTGGGGATTTTGAATAATTAGCATTGGCAACGCTGCAAATCGGTGGGAAGAATCGTACGTGTATTTCAACTCCCGCAAAAGTATAGAGAGCGCGCCTTTAGACAACCGGACGCTATTTCCGACTTGGACGTCCGATTCGATTATCGGATTAGACTATCGGATGGAAAAATCGGACATGTATTCCCGCACTTACACCCAAACTCACGAGAGAAATTAATGTAGGCCATCATTGACTTACAAATAAATGGACGACGGGTCTAATACAAAAACCACGAAAAAAATGTCCCAAGTCAACCTATTCGAAATTTAAATTGTAATGTCATCGCAGTATCGCGCTGTCAGTAGAACAAATGAAGACTAAAGCGGAGTTTGGCCTCTGTATACGATTTTAGCGTCTTACAAGTGCGGACACTTTTTAGCGCCTTACAAGTGCGGACACTTTTTAGCGCGGACCCGACGTCCATATAATTGTAAGTCAATGGCATAGGTAAAATAAATTTACACGTGAAAGCGTCACATTTAAGCTACTGCTCGTTCACTACGCTGACCTCCCTGAGAAGAACGAGCAAGAAACTCTAGGGATTGCTCTTTTCAAATAAACTTAAATGCTATGGAATACACTTTGAATCAAATTTGTGTGGATTCTGGAGCCGTGTCGTCTTTCCGTACGTCTTTATCTAACACGTAGTCTTCAATTTTGTGATATGATTTTTCGATCAAAATATTTAATTATATTATATATATATATATATAATATTTAGCCGTAGCGCCATCTATGAGAAATCTATGATATTTTGTCACCCAGTTAGACAGCTACCAGCCCCGGCTAGAGACGTCGCTATTCATTGTATTTAAATTTTTATTGAATTGATATTCAATTTTTTGATTTTTTTTGTGAAATTACTCCACTAGTTTGTTATAATTATTAACAGAAAAAACCAACTACAAAGATACGACGCAAGCACATAGAAAAATTCGTGAGGTCCGCTGGTTCGTTCCGTGGCTTAGTTGGTATAGCGTCTGTCACGGTTTGCTAGAAGACGCCAGTTCGAATCCGGCCGGATCTAGGGAATTTTTTCTGAGTGTTCGATCTTTGTGTTAATAATTGTTTCCATAATAGTTTATAACCCTTACCGACTCGAACATCCGCAATGAATATTAGTATCGATGAATGCGGATGTTGCTATTTGCTACAACCCTTGTATGAAAGCACGAATGCTCGCTGGTCAGACGTAGGATGTTGATTTATTTATTTATAAAGGACATTCAACAGCATACATTGTAAAACTTAAACTAATTTACATGGGTAATAAGTGTTGCCAATTATAGGATATCACTGAAAAAATGGCACGACGTGACATAGTGACTTCATTGAATGCTAGTGTAAATTCAAAAAGTAACAATAATGATAATAAAAATAAAAAAAATTAAAAGAAAAAGAAAAAGGTTAGTAATAATAATATTTGTAAAAATTGCAGCAAAATACATTCCAAATTAAAAATTAAAATGATGATAAATAACAAATAGTACAAAGTTACATGTTTTTTTTAATATACAGTATAACAATTATTACAAAACAGTAGTTAACAGCTAAGGGGGACAAATTAATCTTCTAATATGCCGTTTACACAAATGTTTAGTATTCGCGAAAATGTCATGTTCATAACTGGAAAGCTGTAATTTGAATTAAATATAAACTTAAATAACAATTTACCGTTTTACAGAACAATCTGGAGTTCCACTTATCTCACTGTCTGGACCTGGTGAAGGCCGGGATGGAATCTATCATCGAAGATCAAGTAACGTCCGTGTTTGAGGCTGAGGAGTTGAGGAGCTGGAACTTACTAACAAGAACCAACAGGTACTTTGAAAGATGTAGCTGGTTTTTCACGAACTCGAAACTAGGGATGCCACGAGTGGTGATTTGGCCGAATACCGAATATTCGGTATTCGGCTGTATATGAAAGTTTTAAATAATAATAATAACGCACACACTCAACATAGCCCCGCACTAGGGAAACCCTGTGTCGCGGGTGCCATGGACACACACATAGACAACCGCAAATTACACCCAAACTCACGAGAGAAACAAATGTAGGCCATACAAATATTTCTCCCGGCCCGGGAATCGAACCTGGGATCTCTGCGTCGCAGTCCGGCATGGTAACCGTTCGGCCACGGAGGCAGTTGAAGGAAGCAGTTATTATTAGAGCACAGATACCGCAAACAAGTGTCCTGACTGTCGGTTTTCTATCGTAGACATTTCTTTTTTTTTTCTTATTTTCCACTCATGGCTCCGCATTAGGGAAAGCCATACAAGCCGACGGTTACATGCTGGACTGCCACGCAGAGGTCTCGGGTTCAATTCCTGGCCTGGAAGAAATATTTGTATGGCCTACATCTATTTCTGTTGTGAGTTTGGGTGTAATTTGTGGTTGTCTATGTGTGTCCCTAGCGCCCGTGATACAGGATTTCCCTAATGTGGGGCTGTGAGTGTCTGCAATATTGTTATTATTACTTACATAACTTATTTTGTCAGTAAGCTGTTGATACTTCTCAATGGAAAAGCAGTAGGCGCCATCTACATAGAAAGCGCTTAGAAGTCGCACTGTAAAGCCCGTACTATATTCTAATATGAAATTTTTTCATAAAGGCTATTATCATCATTGACTTACAAATTATCAGGAATCAATGATGACGGTCGCATAGACCTTTTCTGTAATAGCGTTATAAATGTAAAAGCTATTATGATTGATAACTTCTTATCAAATGACTTATATGGTGATTGTTGTGTTTTCATAATTAGATGTATCATTGTAATTTTAAGCTTGTGTTATTGTAAGATTATTTTCTTAAGTTCAAATGTGGAAGCTTTTAATTGGCATCTGTTTGATCATACTTAAATCTATATTGTAAAAGTAGCTGTAAGCTCCCCAAATATAATAAAATAAAATAAATAAATGAAAACACACCCACGGGCCCATACTATATTTTGCTAACAACATGCTTGCGTTGTTAGCAAAAGTATTTTTTTCTGAGTGTTCGATCTTTGTATTAATAATTATAACAAACTAGTGGAGTCATTTAAAATTGACTAATAAAATTTAAATACAATGAATAGCGACGTCTCTAGCCAGGACTGGCAGCTGTAAAGGTATCTAACTGGGTGACGAAATACTTAAGATTTCTCATAGATGGCGCTACGGCTAAAAAGTCGTTGAAAAAACCAAATACAAAGACACTACAACAAACAGAAAAATTCTTGCACGGTATGCTAGAAGACGTCGGTTCGAATCCGTCTGGATCGAAGGAATTTTTTCCGAGTGCTCGATCTTTGTATTAATGATTATAACAAACTCACTCGGCTAGGGCCCATTGAAAACCAGCGTCACAACCTAGCCTTGGTTGTGACTTTAGCTGAATGGGATCCTTTTGTACACGCCACAGCCGCACACATGTCACTATAGTATTATGTAACTTGTTGTTGAAATGTTTTTATGCTGTTCTTTGTGTTATTTCTGTTCTAGTTATATTAGTCTTTGATTTTGTGTTTTTTTTATAATGTGGCGTTACAATAAATGGTTTCTATTCTATCCTATTCTATTCAAACTAGTAGCGTAATTTCACATAAAAAATAATTGAATTCAATAAAAATTTAAAAACATGCTGGCGTGTTTTAGGATACAAGTACTGCCATCTGTTGGTAGTGTTCGGTACTATTTAGTAGTGAAGTTACAACATTTAAGAATACTTATTCAATATTTGTTTTCTTCCAGACAATACGAGTTTTTAACCTGGCGTTTAACCATTATTTGGGCGATGGGCTTCATCGTACGATACATGTTTCTTTTGCCGTTGAGAATATTCATATTCTTCGTTGGGGTAAGTTTTATATTAAGAGCACATGTTGTAATAAACTAAGCGTGAATTAAATATTGTAATTATATTGTACCATATTATCTAAGCTAAATAAATATCGTTTAATGTTCTTAACAAAACATGTATATACAGGGTGTAAGTGACAGGTTGCCAAAAACGAAAAAGTCGATTCAGACAATATTCATATTTAAAAATCACAGGAAATTTCTCCCTGAAACATAAACTGGATATTTTTTTAATTTATTTTTTCGCTACGCAATGTATTGCTAACAGCGCGATCGTGTCACTGCACGGGCGTGCGACTGTTTAGCGGCGCAAGCTGCACCGGACTACAATGTATTACGTTTTACATTGCCAGGTTTATATTTTATGCAATTATAAATGTTTTTAACTTAAAAAATGGATTGTACTTATCTGCATGTTTACATAAAAAAATTGATTAATGGAAAAGAAATCGGAAAATTTTAAGAAAATTCCAGTGATTTTCAAATGAGAATCATGGCCTGAATCCACCTTTTTGGATTTCGACAACCTGTCACTTCCACCCTGTATATTAACAATTTCAACTCGTTAGTTAACTTTTAATTGTTTGTATTCTAATTTTCTGTTTTGTTTTATGCTATTTAATACACTCGCAGGCAATAAATTTGGGTCGCTATTACGAATATTGATTTTATTATAACCGTTGAAAGGGTATGGAGTGAACTCCAGAAAGGCAAACTCGGGTTTTTATTTACAATGTAAGTAATAGTAATATACGACAATCACTCCAATTATCTGATATTAAATTAGGAAATTTTATATTATTATAAGTGCCGAAATTATAAAACTAACAAAACATTTATTTTTCCTATATGTTGTCTGCGATTGTATTATAAATAATTATAGTTTTCCTTCTAGTAACACAATGAATATCGCACTGGACTCAAGATATTAATTTAAAAAATATAGCTAAATAATACGGCTAACTGCACAAGGCGTAAGACATTGTTATTGACACTGGGAGTCGTAATCTAGAACTCTACTCAATGCCCAAGTCAAAACTTGAGTATAATTCAAAGCACTAGAAATCACACTGAAGTCCTTGCCATTAGGGTCGTATTTCCAGTGCTTGATATCATACTCAAGTCTGCTCAAATCCTGACTTGAGCATTGAGTAGAGTTCTGGAATACGACCCTTAGACTTGTTTTTAATAAATACCTACAGAAACAAAAACAATAGTTTAAGCGACAACACTACCAAATTTTGATAAATGATAGACGTAGAGGTATAACCGAGAACATTATCAAAAATTTGTTAAATAATAGAAGCAGATTTATAAAAGGCAACATTATCAAAAGTTTGATAACATTATCAAAAATTTGTAAAAAAAAAAAAATAGAAACAGATATACCTCTATTTTTGTTAAAAGTTTGACAATTAATAAAGACTGTTTAACAATTAATATATTTTGAGTTTGACTGTTAATATAAACGGCAACATCGTCAAAATTTTGATAATTGATGGAAGCAGGTATATAAACGGCAAAATTATCAAAAGTTTGACAAATATAATAGAAGCAGAGGTATAACCGAAAACATTATCAAAAGTTTTATCATTAATAGAAGTAGAGATATAAACGGCAACGACGTTATGAAAAGGTTCATCAATAACAGAAGCAGTATTTCTGCTTACATTGAACCGGAGAGACGGAATACTGATTGTCTTTAGCCTTATTGCGGTTGGCCGGATATTAAATGTAATATCAAAAAAGGCAGACTATAAACGTGAATGTTCTAACCTTTTAGGTGTGAATTCTGTTGCTCACATTATAAATGTCAAAATCAATAACAGAAGAGCTATTTTTTTTAAACGTTATTATATTATATATACTATACTTCGTTTTTTAGCATTAAATAGAAAGAATTTCGATTCTTATGTGCCATTTCGTGAGCAAAGCATTTGAAGTTTTAAGTTACCACAGTCATGATACCATGGCACCACAGTACATTTACTCAAATATTATGTATGCCCATATATATATATTTCTTTTATGGGGAACTGTATACGTTTTTGCAATAAGATTCCGGAGAATATATTAAGATTATCATTTCTTAAGTTTAAAACTTACATTAAAAGTATTTTAATTGAAAAGTTTACAACATGAGTCTAGATTCCACACATTTATGATTCATAGCGTATTTCATAGCATTTAAATTTATTTGAAAAGAGCAATCCCTAGAGTTACTTGCTCGTTTTTCTCAGGCAGGTCAGCGTAACGAACGAACAGTAGCTTATGAATGAAATTTTCAAGTGTAAAATGATTATTTGACTTGATTAAAGAAACTTGAAGCAAACAGAGCATTGACTTACAATTATATGGACGTCGAGTCCGCGCTAAAAAGTGTCCGAACTTATAGGGCGTTAAAATCATATACAGAGCGTCATTCACGCTTTAGTCTTCGTTTGTTCGACTGACAGCGAAGCAAGCAAAATTAGACAGTACTGCGATGACATTACAATTTAAATTCAACGTTTTAGCTTTTTCATATTCCTTTACATGTCACTACGTTTAAATAGGTTGACCTGGGACATTTTTTTCGTGGTTTTTGTATTAGACCCGTCGTCCTTTTATTTGTTAGTCAATGAAACAGAGGCTCAAAAATTCAACGAATCTTTTTTTTTTTAAGAATCTTATTATGTCGTTTGTATATGTCATCAATTCTCACGACGTTTCCGCAATTCGTTATTCGAAGAAGTTTTACAATCACTGCCTTTTTTATTCAAATGTTTACTTTTTGCCGAATTGTAATAAAACGAAGTATAGGGCACCAGAGTACCTCGACTAGAATTTGAAAAAGTTAGTTTCCTGAGTTGTTCAAACCTTCCCTCGTATGCAACAGAATGAACGCCGTGTAACTTTTTTAACCGACTTCAATAAAGGAGCAGGTTCCCAATTCGACTGTACTCCGGACTTTGTGAATGGATTTACATTATTTTTTTTTTTGCTGGAAACAGGGTACCTCAATAGTGGTCCCATTCAAAGAAGGATGGCGAAAGCTACCCTAATAACAACGAAGAGCCGTTCATGGACTTTGCTAGTATAATTTTGCGTTTTAGTTTATGCCTAGTTATCAAAATATTTTTTTTCTATAGAATAAAAAAATTGTAAAGCTTTGTATTTTGGAATAGATGCAAGAACACAACGCAATTGATTCAGTTAGACCACAGATTAGGTAACGTTCTTGTATTTACGTTTCATTTTAAGTATGATTGAATGTTTACCTACCTGAAATATTGGTTTTTTTATAGTACACACATAAAAATATTAAAGCTATAAAATACCTAATGAAAAAATCGATTAAACAGTAAATAAAAGACAAAAATATTTAGGTAATATTTAAATGAGAGATAGTGAAAGTTGCAAACTAACGTTTTGACTAGAGATCTCTTGCCAATGTCAATGTCACATTGATATTGAGAACAGTGTGACCATTTGTGTCAGATTTCTGCCATTTGGACAGATTTTTATTCGTTTTCATTGCTGCAGAATAAGTTATACTAAATGTGGCTGAGCTTGGCAGATTTGGAAATATTTGGGAAGTTCTTCATTATTTTTAGAAACAAACTAAAAACTTGTTGTTTTCTGCTACTACGAACAAACATCTGAAACGAAATACAGGACAATGTTATAAACATAACCTATGTCAACTTAATAACCCCAGCTTCTACAGTCTGTACTCAATTAGCTTTTTTGATGCTTTGATAGTGAATCACGAGTATTCATAAGTCTCCTTAATGCGCGTCGTCAAAAACACTGGGTCACAAAATACACGGGATGTCACCATCCTTCTTTGAAGAAAATATTCCACCTCTAAGGGTGACAAATTAAGGGATGTTTCCAGTTTATTGAATTTCACTCACCTTCATGATTTCAATAATAAAACTTGGCAAATAGATGTAATTCCACAAATTATTGAGGCCGGTTTTTTTTTATAAAAAATAGTTATTATGCACATTTTGCTAATTTTATGTTTCTTCCCTTTCTGTTTTCTACTAACGCACCTGGCAATCTCCGACTGCTGGCAACACACGGAACTTATCTGAAATGACAACACTTATAAAAAAACTACCAAATCAACTTGGCAACATTTGATATGGGCTATACAATAAAATATTTGGACCATTGAAATACGCACCTAAAAATTATTAATTTTACTTATTATAAAAATCAGACAGTGACATTGGTTTTCACAACACCATTAGTAGGATTACTACCAGCTGGTAGAATCCGGAGGTTTTGCGGTCAACTGTGCTACAAGATAGCCTTTCGTACCATGGTACGCGGACTATGCGGTGTGGTAACCTATCATGACTTACAATATAAGCCAAAGACAACGGGATTGTGTGTTGCTAACCACACTAGCGTTATTGATGTTGCCATACTAAGCAGCAAACATTGCTACTCTATGGTAGGATTTTTTTATTTTTTTTCGGGCTTGGGTATCATGGTATATTGTGCCTTTATGTTTTAAATCTTTGTGATGTATTTGTGTTGTTGTTTTATTTCACTATTGTGGTATGCATTTGTCATGACTTTTATACATACAGATTGTTTTCATTGTTGGAAATACAACCTTCAGGGCTGATTGTTCTCAATTACACAAACAACTTTCGTTATAAGACGTTAAAATTCTGAGAAAAGAAAAACATTTTTCTATACACTTCGCACAGGGAACTAAATACTGTCGTAACTCAAATATTAAGGAATTGAGAAAACACAATTTAATAAAAGAAATTGAATATACGTTATTGCAAATAATGGGATTATTTTTATTTATACATAATAATTAATATTCACATACAAACGGAAATGTATAAATATATTGGTTCCATTCAGTAATTATTTGGACTTTCAAATCGTGTTTCCTCAATTCCACCATTTTTGAGTTACGACAGTATTAGGTTTCGGTTTGTGATTTGCAATAATAATAATAATAATTTTATTCTCAAAGAATGTAAGCTTGTCCATGTTTGATTAGAAACTGTGGATTGTTAAGAAACTAATGTCTTCTATCAAAACCGAATTACAACTACGACCATAGAGATTATAACGTATTGTAAAAACCTATATGTTATAATTATTAATACAAAGATCGAACACTCAGAAAAAATCCTTCGATGCGGCGGGATTCGAACCGACGTCTTCTAGCATACCGTGCCTGAATCCGGCCGGATCGAAGGAATTTTTTCTGAGTGTTCGATCTTTGTATTAATAATTATAACAAACTAGTGGAGTAATTTCACAAAAATAATTTAATATCAATTCAATAAAAATTTAAAAACCTATAACTACAATATAACAAAAGTTGTCTAAAAAAACAGCCCTAACTTTTGGTTCACAAAATAATCATAATTCATGGGTATGCTATAACCATCAACGGGTCTATCATGTATCACGGCTTTACTCATAGGTGTGGTGGCTGCTCGTGTGCACGGCGTGCGTGGGAACTCTGCCGGACGGGCCGTTCAAACAGAAGATCAACTACGGAGTTTCCATCATGTGCTTCAACTTCCTAAGTCGGTGTTTGTCTATGGTCATTACATACCATAATACTCATAACAAACCGAAAAACGGGATATGTGTGGCGAACCATACCAGTCCTATAGATGCCTTGGTGTTAATGTGTGACAACTGCTATTCCTTGGTAAGTAGAATCTTTAATACATTTGGACCGACTTTCCCATTGAATCCGCTGTCCCAGCGGACCTTTAGTCTGTTCCAATCCATGTTAAACAAAAAGTAAATAATATTGTTTGGGTAAACAAACTTTCACCTATATTTCCAAGATTTCGACTTGGTATCCTTTTCGATTTTCGAACAATATTCATTTGAATAGCATCGTAAAATCGTATTTGAAAAATGGTAGTCCAAGTGAGGTTATTTTTCAACTATACAGCTATAACTTGTCTATGGTTGCATAGTGCTGTACGACAAAAAAAATCGGCTCATTCAATTAACGTTTTTGTAATCGATTAGTAAATCGAAAATTTCAATCGCAATACGAGTATGTAAGTGTAAGATTTGAAGGAGAATTTAAAATTAAAATTTCGGAAATTTTAAATAATATGCTTTTATAAGGTTATGTAAGGAAAACAGCTAGTATGAATCAATGAAACAAATCGATTCATTCAATTAATTAATCGATTTGTAGTTGGCATTACAATTGACCATCACTAAACCGTCTATGGTCGGGTCAGGGACTTGTTTACTTTTTGTTTAAAATGGATTAAAACGAAGTATACTTTCTTTTTGGACCTATTTTTCTTTTATCATATTTTGATTTAGGACCCACAACTGAATAGTAAGTAAACTTTAGTGCCAACTATTATTAACAGCATTTTATCATTTATTTTCCTTTGACACTATTTTACCCCCACTTAATCTTGACTTAAAACCGACTTATGCTTTCTTTGGACGAATTTACTTACGGACCTATTTTTATTTGGACCAACGTACAACTACAAAATTAAGTAATAATAATGAACACCTCTCTGGTATGTAGAACTTCGTCAAATACAATAAAGGTAAATAAAGCATGTGTTCTTCTACTTGGGCCATCATTTGCCTAAAATATATGCTTGCTTGTGTGATTGTCACAGCCAATCATGGCGGGGTTTCATAGACAAATATTTGATTTAAATCTTCTTGATGGCGATCCCATGTCTCCGCCTTAGAAACAGGCGAGAGTTTATGTATGCCAGACACTTATCCAGAGTGTTTAGGCACTTGTGAAGCCACTCAAATAAAATAAGTATATTTGACACCAGGCCATGTTTAAACAGCACTTCACCCTTGGACCTACTTATGTTATAGACAAACATTCCATCAACAACAGCTTTCCAAAATAGATCTATATAAAAATCAGATGATACCAGACCATGTTTCGAACCCACCTACGTGAAGTATTGTATGTCGAGATTGCGAAGTTTAGAAGGGAGCATTTTAAAGTTTTGAATTCACCGTGGCTTAGTTGGCATAGCGTCTGGCACGGTTTGCTAGGAGACGTCTCGGTACGATCGTAAGAGGTAATATCGAGTTCTTAGGTTTTCGCGATTGTTACACATAGGAAACGAAACTATTTTTCTTTGTTTGAAAAAACAAATAAACGCAATTTAAATCCGGAAAAATAGTTTCATTTCCTTGTGGAATAATTTTACAAAAAATCATTGGATATCCATTCAATAATAATTTAATATATAATAATCATTGACTTACAAATAAATGGACGACGGGTCTAATACAAAAACCACGAGAAAAATGTCCCAAGTCAACCTATTTAAACGTAGTGACATGTAAAGGAATATGAAAAAGCTAAAACGATGAATTTAAATTGTAATGTCATCGCAGTACTGTCTAATTTTGCTTGCTTCGCTGTCAGTCGAACAAACGAAGACTAAAGCGTGAATGACGCTCTGTATACGATTTTAACGCCCTGTAAGAACGCGGACCCGACGTCCATATAATTGTAAGTCAATGATAATAATGTAATATTAGTAAACTGCCTCGAACGGCTACCTTGCCGGACTGCCACGCAGAGGTCCCAGGTTCGATTCCCAGGCCGGGAGAAATATATATATGGCCTACATTTATTTCTCTCGCGAGTTTGGGTGTAATTTGTGGTCGTCTATGTTTGTGTCCATGGCACCCGCGACACAGGGTTACCCTAGTGCGGGGCTATGTATGAACAACCATAATTTATTTAATAATTTTATATTAACCCAGATATGGGTCAACAAGCAAGATAAACTAAAAGTGAGACTGGGTGGGACCGGTGACTATATAAAATTATAAAATATTGTTCATCTAACCGATATCTAGGATTTTATAATGCTCTATGTGATTAATGAGCTTTGCCAAATAAAACAGAAATGCTAAAGTCAAGTGTTATGCTCATTTCGGTGAATGCAAAACTTTAAAAAGCTCCCCTGTAAACTTGGCAATTTCGAGATAGGTACGATATTTTACATAGGAGGGGTCGATTTATCAGCACATTCCTTTTGAATCTACTTTCCATTGGAACCAACTTTACCTCCGAACCTAATTAATTATCATAGGGAATTAATGACAAATGGCAAAAACAAAAACTCAAAAACAAAAATTAGTTTGGTAATATGTTTTAATGTTTTTAGATTGGTCAACGCCATAACGGTTTTCTGGGATTACTGCAGAGGGCGTTGTCTCGCGCTTCGCCTCATATCTGGTTTGAGAGGTCCGAGGTCAAGGACAGACATATTGTTGCTCAAAGGTAACCGACAGTTCCGTATTATGTCATGAACGTAAATTTTAAGGGGTATACGAAAGGAGCCTCCTTGCTAGGGGACGTTCCCATTATGTCGTAATATTGTATTTATCGTTAAACGACTGTCGTATCTGTCGGTTCACGGCAGTGGCCTTGTCGTTAGCACGATAGAATCATTTGAAGCTGCGATTACCTGTCGTCACATTTTCATCGTGGCGTTTTATTTATCGTCAGACGACTGTCGTTCTAGCTCTAACAATTGTCACGACAGTCTGTCGTCGTAACGTCATTATTTTTAGTTTAATTATCTGGTTATTATCTAAAAGAACCGTAGAAAAAAACCATGAGTTGTTTATTGAAACAATTACAAATTGGTTAAGTGTAGGGCTTGCTCCCGGGAATTCCCGGTTCCGGAAATACCGGTAAATCCCGGTACTGACGAAGTGCAATCAGTTCCGGTACTGCAATTATAGATTCCCGGTATTCCTGGAGTATTATACCATTAAATTCTAAAAAATAGTTTCGGTTAGCTGTTTTTTTTAAGTATTAATGTTAGAATGTGATTTGTACTCGTTCTGAAGACTGATAATAATTGTTAATGCCATTATAATGCTTCTGAATACTTTACTACAATATGATTTTAACTGCCTCCGTGGCCGAACGGTTACCATGCCGGACTGCCACGCAGAGGTCCCAGGTTCGATTCCCTGGCTGGGAGAAATATTTGTATGACCTACATTTATTTCTCTCGTGAGTTTGGGTGTAATTTGTGGTTGTCTATGTGTGTGTCCATGGCACCCGCGACTCAGGGTTTCCCCTAGTACGGGGCTACGTTGAGTGTGTGCGTTATTGTTATTATTATTTTATGATATTATGTTATGTTAAATTTAGTAATTATCCCACAAATAAATATTTTGAATAAAAACCTTTTAATTTGATTAGAGAATGAAATTTTTCTTTATTATTTTTGGTATTAACATGTAAATTATTGAATAAACATGAAAAAGCGTACTTACTGGTTACAGTTTCGGGGTCGTATTCCAGAACTGTACTCAATGCTCAAGTCAGGATTTGAGCAGACTTGAGTATCATTTCAAGCACTGGAAATACGACCCTAATGGCAAGGACTTGAGTATGATTTCTAGTGCTTTGAATCATACTCAAGTCCTGACTTGAGCATTGAGTAGAGTTCTAGAATACGACGCTAAGAGTCTAAACAACCTCAAATGGCTCTGGTTGTTTCCGCATGAATCACTTAAAAAAATATATAATAAATTTGAGGATATATACTGATTACTACACAGTGTGAAAACATGATTCCTAGATTCCTTTTTTACGTTCGAAAAAAACACAAACTTACCTCGAAATTTTACAAGAAAACCGCTGTATTCAAGAGGCACATTTACATATACCAATGATTTTTTTTACATCAACTGAACTAAATAGAGCACGTATACTATACGATATACATTTTTTAAATCGCTTTAAAGTAATTTTTTACGAACGAAATTAATTTCGTTTGTAAAATAATACATTCTGGAATAAAGCCAGTGCCGCTTGACCTAAGCAAAGTGAACCGTATTGTACCCAACCATTTATTTACATGCCTCCGAAGTTCCGTAATTATTGAGATACAACCATTACTCCCTGGACTCGGTTCTTTTTTAATAGCCAGAGCCAATAGATTATGTAACGAAGATTATAATATTCAAGTTGGTTAATTTTAGTACCTGTCTAATAAATTTTAATGACATGAAATAAATAAACAATACTCAACGTACACACTCAACATAGCCCCGCACTAGGGAAACCCTGTGTCGCGGGTGCCATGGACACACACATAGACAACCACAAACTACACCCAAACTCACGAGAGAAATAATTGTAGGCCATACAACTATTTCTCCCGGCCCGGGAATCGAACCTGGGACCTCTGCGTGGCAGTCCGGCATGGTAACCGTTCGGCCACGGAGGCAGTTAAAAGAAATAAATGTTTATTGTTTGTTATAATGAATCGTCGGATTCTTCTCCACATGAACGGGAATCACCACTTGATCCTCATTAACATTATTTATTAATTCTTCAGTACACAAATAAATAAATTGTCAAACGCAACATAACGATATCAATCGACTATACAATATCGACTTTATGTACATATTATTACTGTTCAATTTCAGGTTGAAAGAGCACATCTCAGTGCCTGACAATCCGCCAATACTGATTTTCCCCGAAGGGACATGCATTAACAACACCTCAGTGATGCAATTCAAGAAAGGCTCTTTTGAAGTCGGTGGCACCATCTACCCCGTTGCCATCAAGTGAGTTATTGTTTCACTGAATTTCTGTTCCCCTGGTACTTGTTAGCTTGGCGACCTCGCCGATGAACTAACGGTTTACATTGTGGGCGCGGGAAGCGGAGGTCCCGGGTTCGATTCCCGGTAAGACCAATTTGGGAAGTTATTTATGTAATTAATACAATTATATCTATGTAGATATATGTATCTATCTACGTTTTTTTTTAATTATTATTACATATTAAGTAGTGTATGTAATATGATTATATTTTTTGGTTGCACATTGCATATCCCAAATGTCCATTCTAAGGTTGCCTGGAAGACATTGGTACAAAACAATAAGACCGCCTGTTGCACATGAACTTACTGCTAGTGTTATATTTAAGGTATTCTATTATAATGTATTTTGACTGTAATTTTAAAGAATATTTCAGTATTTATTTATTAGCGAACATGCAATAAAATTACATTACATGTGCTCTGTAAGGGCGTAGCTAAGACTTACAAATGTATTAAATTCTTTAAAATAATAAAATATCTTAATAAAGTAATGCAGTATCAATTAAAAATGAATCCATATACTAATATTATGAATGAATCCACATTTGATTAATTCATTCATTTCCAGATATGACCCTCGCTTCGGCGACGCGTTCTGGAACAGCGCTCGCTACGGTATGCTGCACTACCTTCTGAACATGATGACGTCATGGGCGATCGTGTGCGACGTCTGGTACCTCCCTGCCATGCGAAGGGCGGAAAACGAGAGTGCAGTGGAGTTTGCTAACAGAGTTAAGGGCGTCATAGCTACGAGGGGGGGACTGGTCGACCTTATGTGGTAAGGAATATGTTATACCTTAAAAGCGAACACTCCATTTTTAAAATATAAATAAATTAATTATAATTTTATACTATTATTTGTAATGTAAATTCAATTTAATTGTAATGAGTAAGTAATATCGAGTTCTTAGGTTTTCGCGATTGTTACACATAGGAAATGAAACTATTTTTCCGGATTTAAATCGCGTATAGTTGTTTTTTCAAACAAACCGACGTTACGGGCCCTTTACAGGTCCCATGGTCACGGTTGACTGAGGTGGTACAGTCTTCAACCAGTTATGTCTAATATTGATGCATACCACCCTATTTTTTCACTATAGTTACAATAGTTATTAATTAAATAGCTTATTTTGATGTTAAATGTATTAATTTGTGTATACCTAAATAAAGAAACTTTTTATTTTATATTATACACCGGACGCGTAATTCGAGCCACCTTGCATTTTTATCCTTAAAGGGCTAGAATAAAAAATATAGTTAGCATCAAAGACAAAGGTACCTTCGGCTGTTTAAATTAAACGAAATCAACATTGGTGTCTGGAAATTGATAGCTCAAAAGTTGTTCAACTTTGTTGTGTTTTTTGGGCA